CGGCAATCTGTGTGTGTGTATGGATTCGGCAGTCTGTGTGTGTGTATGGACTCGGCAGTCTGTGTGTGTGTATGGACTCAGCAGTCTGTATGTGTGTATGGACTCAGCTGAGTCTGTGTGTGTGTGTGTATGGACTCAGCAGAGTCTGTGTGTGTGTGTGTATGGACTCAGCAGAGTCTGTGTGTGTGTGTGTGTATGGACTCAGCAGAGTCTCTGTGTGTGTGTGTATGGACTCAGCAGAGTCTGTGTGTGTGTATGGACTCAGCAGAGTCTGTGTGTTTGTGTGTGTATGGACTCAGCAGTCTGTGTGTGTTTTGTGTGTATGGACTCAGCAGTCTGTGTGTGTTTTGTGTGTATGGACTCAGCAGAGTGTGTGTGTTTTGTGTGTATGGACTCAGCAGAGTGTGTGTGTATGGACTCAGCATAGTGTGTGTGTGTGTGTCTGTATGGACTCAGCATAGTGTGTGTGTGTGTGTGTGTGTGTATGGACTCAGCAGTCTGTGTGTGTGTACGGACTCAGCAGAGTCTTTGTGTGTGTGTATGGACTCAGCAGTCTGTGTGTGTGTGTATGGACTCAGCAGACTGTGTGTGTTTGTGTATGGACTCAGCAGAGTGTGTGTTTGTGTATGGACTCAGCAGTCTGTGTGTGTGTATCGACTCAGCAGTCTGTGTGTGTGTGTATGGACTCAGAGTCTGTGTGTTTGTGTATGGACTCAGCAGAGTGTGTGTTTGTGTATGGACTCAGCAGAGTGTGTGTTTGTGTATGGACTCAGCTGTCTGTGTGTGTATGGACTCAGCAGTGTGTGTGTGTGTGTTTGGACTCAGCAGTCTGTACATGTGTGTGTGTGTGTATGAGACCAGCAGTCTGTGTGTGTGTGGACTCAGCAGAGTCTGTGTGTGTGTGTGAGACTCAGCAGAGTCTGTGTGTGTGTGTGTGGACTCAGCAGAGTCTGTGTGTGTGTGTGGACGCTTGAGGTCTGTGTGTGGACTCAGCGGTGTGTGTGTGTATGGACTCAGCGGTCTGTGTGTGTGTGTGTGTGTGTGTGTATGTGGACTCAGCAGTCTGTGTGTGTGTGTGTATGGACTCAGCGGTCTGTGTCTGTATGGACTCAGCAGTCTGTGTGTGTGTATGGACTCAGCAGTCTGTGTGTGTGTGTATGGACTCAAGTAGTCTGTGTGTGTGTGTATGGACTAAAGCATTCTGTGTGTGTGTGTATGGACTCAAGTAGTCTGTGTGTGTGTGTATGGACTCAGTAGTCTGCGTGTGTGTGTGTATGGACTCAGCAGTCTGTGTGTATATGGACTCAGCAGTCTGTGTGTGTGTGTGTGTGTATGGACTCAGCAGTCTGTATGTGTGTGTGTGTATGGACTCTCAGCGGTGTGTGTGTGTGTGTATGGACTCAGCAGTGTGTGTGTTTGTGTATGGACTCAGCAGTGTGTGTGTGTTTGTGTATGGACTCAGCAGTGTGTGTGTGTTTGTGTATGGACTCAGCAGTGTGTGTGTTTGTGTATGGACTCAGCAGTGTGTGTGTTTGTGTATGGACTCAGCAGTGTGTGTGTTGTGTGTGTGTCTGTGTGTGGACTCAGCAGTGTGTGTGTGTCTGTGTGTGGACTCAGCAGTGTGTGTGTTGTGTGTGTGTCTGTGTGTGGACTCAGCAGTCTGTGTGTGGACTCAGCAGTCTATCAATAATTAACATTCCTGTGAGGAGTTGTGTAGGAAGGGCTCCAGTGCATTGCTTTGCCCGGGGGGCCTTAACTCTGTTAAAAATGGTACTGCTTGTGTGTCAGTGAGCTTCTATTTAGTGAGCATGTGTGTGTCAGTGAGCTTGTCTTTAGTGAGCTTGTGTGTGTCCCTGAACTTCTTTGTAGAGAGCCTTCTGTTTATACAAGTGAGTGTCTGTAGTAAGCTTGTGTGTGAGTCAGAGAGTTTTGTCTGTCAGTAAACCTATTTGCGCATGTCAGTAGGAATGGCATAAAATTTTTTTTCCAGGGCTGCTTTGGATTCCCAGTTTGGCTC